ACGATTACTACTACTCCTACTACTACTACTACTGCTACTACTACTACCACTACTACGACTACTACTACTACTACTACTACTACAACTACTACTACTACTATTACTACTACTGCTACTACTACGACTACTACTACTACTACTACTACTACTACTACTACTACTACTACTATTACTATTACTACTACTACTACTACTACTACTACTACTACTACTACTTTTACTACTACTACTACTTCTACTACTACTACTACTACTACTACTACTACTACGACTACTAGTAGTACTATTACTACGACTACCCCGACGACCGCAACGACTCCTACTAGTACGACTACGCTTACTATTGTTACTACTACAACAACTAGCACTACTACTACTACTACTACTACTACTACTACTACCCCGACTACTGAAACGACTACTCCTAGTACGATTACGCTTAGTACTACTGCTACTACTATTAGTACGATCGTTACTATTGTGACAAACGTCGTTATTGCAATTATCACGCGAGCTACCCCTATTAGTACTGCACGGCTAGTGCTACTACTTTTGATACGAAAGATTGTTGTTGCAATACTACGACTACTACAACTAGTACTACTATTACGACTACTACTACTACTACTACTACTACTACTACTATTACGACGGCTACGACTGCTAGTACCGTTATTAGTAGTACGACTATCGCTACGACTACTCTTGCTAGTATTTCTACTATTATTACTACTGCTACTACAGCTGCTACAGCTACTACGACGACGACGCGTATTATTATAACGAGTACGACTATTACTACTACTACTACTATTATTACTACCACTACTACTACTACTACTACTACTACTACTACTACTATTATTAGTGCTGCTATTGCTACTACTATTACCACTACTACGACTACTACTTCCACGATTACTACTACTGGGGCTACGACTAAAATTGCGACTACGACTACTACTATTTTTACTATTACCATTACTTTTACTATTACTACTGCTACTACTACTACTACTACCACTACTACCACTACTACTACTCCTGCTACTAATACCACTCGTTCTACGATTATTACCCTGCTACTAATACGACTACTACTATTGCCACTACTACCACCTGAACTGCTACTACTACTACTACCACCACTACTACGACTACTACTACTACTATTACTACTTCTGCTACTATTGCTATAAGTATAAATATTACTACTACTACTACTACTACTACGACTACTACTACTACTACTACTACTACTACTACTACTGGTTAGTACTACTACGACTACGACGGCTACTCTACTAGTACGACGGCTACGGTTACGGTTACGACGACGACGACCCCTACCTTTACTACGACTAACGACTACGGTTGTTACTGCTACTGCTACTATGGAACTTCGAGCACTTCTATGATTACTATTACGGTTACGGCTACGACTACTATTATTATTACTATTACTACTACTACTACCCTTACTGTCACTACAACTGCTACTATTACTCTCATGGCTACTCCTACTAGCATTGGTATTTCTACTGCCGCTACTACTACCTTTACAACTACTACTACTGCTACTACTACTACTACTACGACTATTACTGCTACTATGACTACTATTATTACTACCGCTATTGCTACTACTACAACTACTACTACTACTACTACTACTACTACTACTACTTCTACTACTACTACTACTACTACTACTACTACTACTACTACTCCGAATACCACTACTACTATCACGACTGCTACTACTACTGTTAGTACTACTATTAATACTACTACTACTACTACTACTACTACTACTACTACTACTATTACTGCTACTACTACTACTACTACTACTACTACTACTACTACTACTTCGACTACTACTACTCCTACGACGACCACTACTACTACTACGAGTACGACTACTACTGCTACGACTAGTATTACGACTACTGCTACTGCTACGACTATTATTGCTACTACTACTACTACTACTACTACTACTACTTCGACTACCCCGACGACTGCAACGACTACTACTAGTACGGGTACGCTTACTACGACTACGAGTACGACTACTACTACCACGATCACGACTACCACTACTACTACTACGACTACTACTACTACTACTACTACTACTACTAATACTACTACTACTACTACTACTACTACTACTACTACTACTACTACTACTACTACGACTACTGCGACTACTATGACTACTACTACTACTACTACTACTACTACTACTACCCCGACTAGTGAAACGATTACTCCTAGTACGAGTGCGCTTACTACTACTGCTACTACAACTAGTACGATCAGTACTATTGAGCTTACTATCGTTATTGTAAGTATTGCGGCGACTACTCCTATTAGCACTGCAATGCGAGTGCTGCTACTATTGATACAGAAGGTTGTAATTGCAATACTACTACTACTACTACTACTACTACTACGACTACTACTCCTACTACTACTACTACTACTACTACTA